CCCCCTCCTCCCCCTCCCCCTCCCCCGCCCGCTCCCCCGGTCCCGGGAGGAGCCGCCAGCCAAGATGTCCCGGTCCAACCGGCAGAAGGAATACAAATGCGGGGACCTGGTCTTCGCCAAGATGAAGGGTTACCCGCACTGGCCTGCCCGGGTAAGGAGCTGGGGAAGAGGGTGGGGGGCGATGGGACCCACCGGTGTCCCCCCGGTGCTCTCTCGGGTGCTCCCCGTTGCATAACGCGGGCGGCCGAGGTGCCCCGGGGGTGGGGGGAGGGGGTGCACCGGGGTCAAGCTCCCCCCGTGTAACGGCRGGGGGAATAATGCCTACATTGGGGTCAGGCTTCGTTCTCCCCCCTTCCCCTTCCACCGGGGCCGGGGTCTAACTTTACCGGCACCTTATGTAAGGCCGGGCCCGGCCGACTTGGGGGTTACTCGGTCCCGAGGTTTGGAGAGGCGCTTTCGGATCGTTTCGTTGGGCTCGGGGGGGGGATTTCACGTGTTCGAAACAACGTCCCGGGCTCCCCCGGGTCCCTTTTGTGCTGTTTATTCATTTCTCTCCTGGGGGGGAGGGGGGGGTCACGGGTGGGGACCGCGTGGCTTCTGCTACCGCGTGGGAGCGGGGGGCCGGCCGGTGACCGGGGCCGTGTCCACCACCGGAATACGAGTCTGGGCCAGCCCGAGGTGACCCCCCCGACACCGGGGTTGGGGTCGGTCCTTTTTCCACGTGGGGCCGCCGCACCACGACCCGTTTCCCGCTCCATTGCGAGACACCGGGGAGAGGCCAGGTCGCTCCCGCTTCGCTTCACCGATGAACCGGGGGACACGGGGAGGGGGTCGGTTCAGCCAAACCCCCCCCGTTCTTGCTCCTCCGGCAGCTCCCCGAACGTGTCCCCCCGGCTCTGCGTGGCCTTACCTCCTGCCACGGGTACCAGAGAGGTGCCAGCGCTCGCCGGGAGTTTGGCTTTAGCAAATCGATAGAATTGCTGAGGACTTAGGACGGGGAGAACGGGGGCCGTGTATTCGGGGAGAGGAGGGGTCGAGGTTTCACCATGTGCCGGACCCGCCGCTGTCCCCCCCGGCTCGTTCCCACCGGAGCCGAGTCCTGGGCACCGGACGGGTGTGGGGGTCCCTGAACGTCCCCGGGAAGGGTCCGTGCCATAAGCCCGGGACCCCTGGGATGAAAAGCCCAGAGCCACCAGGGCCGGATCCCCGGCCGGGGGCCGTGGGCAGCTCTGGCTGCACAACACGGCGCTGGTTATTTTTAAGCGGTTGATGATGCAGTTTAAAATTTCCTTGGAGTGTTCCCCCCACACGCATACACACACACACACACACATTCCCCTCCCGGCCTTGCTGCAAAGGGCGCTGGGGCTGCCTGGAAACCCCAAATTGAGCGGAAAACGGGAGGAATGGCGCGGTGGGCTTTAAAGGCCGAGGATCCCCCCCCCCATCCCCGTTCCCCCCATCCCCTCCTCCTTCCCCTCCCGGATTTGAATAACTTTTGTTTGGTTTGTCGGGTTCTGGCGGGGAGGCCGGGAGGGGGTTGGGAGCCGTTCGGATTTGGCACTGGCCTCCCAACGCGCATTTGAAAGCGGCTTTGCGAGGAGGAGCCAGAGGGATCCCTGGGAGCCCGGCGCCTGCTTCCACCACCGCCTGCTTTTCCACCGCAGCTTCTCTCCGGGGGAAAGCGACGCTTCCCCGGCTGCCTCATCCTCCTCCACCCATCGCATCGCGGTGGGGTTCGGCCCCGCTTCCCCAAACCCCCCCAATTGTGTGCCCCCGCCGGGGGTGACGCCGGGTCGGGACTTGCAAAGCTTCGTGCCGGGCTCAGCTCCCGGGGACCGAATTAGCGCCTGTGTGCGCCCAAGCCCGCTCGGGTTTCACGCCCCACTCGTCTCTCCCAGCGCTTGGTTTCACTGCCACCATCATGGCAGGATGGTTTCAGGGGCTGTTTCAGAAGAGGTTTTGTCCCTCCCGAAGCAGCAGGAGGTTGGGTTCCCTGAGATTGGGGGGGTTTGGGGTGCAGCCCTCTGTGCCTCTGTGACTAATCGGTCAGGGTGAAGCAGGCAGGGTTTGCCCGTGACTAATCAGGTGCTGTGATGAAACGTTACCCGGCCACGCGTGGCGTTTGCTGGGATATTTGTTTCCAGCCAGGTGTGGCTGGAGCAGAGAGATACAGCGRGGAATGAAATGGAGGGGGGGAAGAGGCAGCACTGTGCGGGGTKAGGGTTGTTCCTCTGGCCCCATTCCCTGGGGATGGCACCCCAACACCACCAGCTCAGCCCCTGCCCCCAGTCAAAACCTCTCCCTGAGAGGGGCTGGGTTAAACAGAGGGGAAACTGAGGCACGARAGCGGGGAGATGAGTGGCTGGCACCTGGAAGGTGATGCTTGCCTCCCTTTTTTCCTCTCACCCTTTCTCTGCAGGGTCCCTGATGCCGGACCCTCGCTGTCACCTGCCCATCGGTGCTTCTCTGCTGCTGTGGCCAGATCCGCAGCCCTTTTTCCTTAAAGATCTCTGGGACAGCACAGGAGCACAGCAGGGGACAAAGCACCGGCGCCAGGCTGGGGGTCCTGGCACCAGTGACCCCCCTGCCCATGTTCCCATGGCCGGGGTCAGGGTCCTGCTGGCTGTACCCTCTGGAGCAGCCTCTGAGTAGTTTGGTGCTTACCACCAGCCTGATGCTGGAGTGGGACCCGCGGTGGCCCYGGGGCTGAGGAGAGTCCCATGGGTGCAGCTRTGGGGTTTGGGGGTGCCACAGGCCCCACACCCCAGTGCGTGTGCCCCCCATGTGCTTTATCAACCGTGTGTGACCACATGAGTTAATTCCGTTAATTCCCCTTCTTGACACCCAGCTCCTCACCACCTCTCGTCCTGCAGAAGGGAAACTGAGGCAGGGAGGGGGCTGCTCCCAGCTCCCATGGGGGCGGTGCAGGGCAGGCTGTGTCCAGCCGTGCTCCATGGACCAATTGCAAAGGTGAAGAGCAGAGGTTGGGGGCAGAGTCCAGAGCAGGGGACGTGCCAGTCCCTCCCCTGCCATGGTCCAGAGCTTTCCCCGCTAGGGGAGCGGTCCCAGCCCGTTTCCAGACCCACCCAGACGCAGGTCCCAGGGCTGTGACACTGGTGGGGGACAGCAATGGCCACCAGGGACTTTACTCTGGCCCTGTCACCCCCCAGTGCCACCGTCCAGTGAGCGACAGTGATGGACAGACAGTTGTGGGGTGCGATGGTGCCACGAGCCCTGGGCCCCCATCACGGGGCAGTTTGGGCAGCCCGGGCTTTCTGGGTGGATTTTTCATCCGTCTGCACTATCGGTGTCCCCGATGGGGTGTCATCTGCCATGTCCMCACACCCCCATCCCTGCCTGTCCATGCAGATAGAGCCACCGTGTCCCCTTGGGGTGCAGGAGGAGCCGATAAGGGGCTGGTGCTGGCGGGAATGRGCTGTGCAGGAAATCCCATTGTCASGGGGGGATCCCAGCTGTCCCCTGTCCTGTGCCCTCAGTTGGTGGGCTGGGGACAGGCAGCAGTGGRTTTGGGGACRYTGTGGGGACAGCCATCCCTGTCCCTGCTGCCCTTGCCTCTGCATGTGCNACAGCCATCCCTGTCCCTGCTGCCCTTGCCTCTGCATGTGCCGCCTATGCTTCCTTGGGGAAGGAGATTTGGAAACTTGCTGGGGAATGGCACAGATGGGGGATCTCTGTCAGGGTCCTGGCACTGCAAGGGGCTCTGGGGTCCCTGTCCCTTCCTGGAGGGGGATCTGGGTTCCAGGTCCTCACTTGGGGGGCTCTGGGTTCCCTGTCCCAACCTGGAGGGGTCTCTGGGTTCCATGTCCTCACTCAGAGGGGTCTCTGAGTTCCATGTCCTCACTTGGGGGGTCTCTGGGTTCCATGTCCTCACTTGGGGGGCTCTGGATTCCATGTCCTCACTTGGGGGGCTCTGGGTTCCATGTCCTCATTTGTAGGGGTATCTGGGTTCCATGTCCTCATTTGTAGGGGTATCTGGGTTCCATGTCCTCACTTGGGGGGCTCTGTGTTCCATGTCCTCACTTGTAGGGGTATCTGGGTTCCCTGTCCCTTCCTGGAGGGGGATCTGGGTTCCATGTCCTCACTTGGGGGGCTCTGGTTCCATGTCCTCACTTGGGGGGGTCTCTGAGTTCCATGTCCTCATTTGGGGGGCCTCTGTGTTCCATGTCCTCACTTGGAGGGGTATTTGGGTTCCATGTCCTCACTTGTAGGGGTATCTGGGTTCCATGTCCTCACTTGGGGGGCTCTGGGGTCCCTGTCCCAACCTGGAGGGGGCTCTGGATTCCATGTCCTCACTTGGGGGGGCTCTGGGGTCCCTGTCCCAACCTAGAAGGGTATCTGGGTTCCATGTCCTTACTTGGGGGGTCTCTGGGTTTTATTTCCTCACTTGTAGGGGTATCTGGGTTCTATGTCCTCACTTCGGGGGGTCTCTGTGTTCCAGATCCTCACTTGGGGGGGCTTGGTGGGGCCTTAGCCACATTGTCCCAGGAGTGACCTGAGGGAACGTGGCTTGTGGGAAGCAGCATCCTCGGCTGGGCTGGGCTGGGGCCGCCCCTCTGAGTCACATCATCCCCTCCTCCTCCTCCTCCTCCTCCTCCTCGGTGCCACGCGGGGACGGAGCTGCTGCTCCCAGCTGCCGCCATGGCCCCGGGTCCCACTGGGCACTGCTGTAAGAGCCAGACTGACCTTTGCTCTGCTGGGGACCGTCCCTGCTCCTGGAATATCCCTGTGCCTGTGGGGAATGGGGGGCATTGGGCAGGGTGCTGCCAGTAGTCCCGTGGTCACCAATCCTGATACAGGACAGGTTTGTGGGCAGTGGGGATGGCACGAAGGCGCATCCCACCCAGGAGTGGGATGTGACAGTGACCATCCACCATGTCCTGGTGCCCGCAGGGAACCCCTCACCGGTGTCTCATCCCCTCCAGCTCCCGCTGGGTTGTGCCATCATTGCCCCTTGACAACGTGTTGGTTCCATTCCCAGCTCTGGGAAGGAAATCAGGAAAAACCCTAGAAACCCTTGGCCAGGTTCACCCTGGGGTCACGATGGGCTGGAAGGAAGAGGGGTAAAACACTGGTAGCAGGAGCCCTGTCACCACATCTCGGCCCTGCTGGCTGGGGAAACAGAGGCTCAGCAGCCTGGGGGTGTTGTGGTGATTAGAAAAAGTCGGTGCCATGAGTCAGCAGAGCACTGGCATTGGGACCGGGCACCCCGGGCACATCTGCGCTGGCACCTTCCATCCCAGTGACGCGCTGGCGCCTGCCCCGAGACCCCCACCCGCATCCTCCTTCGGCTCCTTCCACCTCCCTTTGAGGTTTTCTCAGGGAATTTATGGCTGCTGGCTGCAGGGGGGGTTATTTTTAGACGCTATAAAAAGCAGCCGGAGTTGCTTTCGCTCCGTTCCCGCTTGGCGCCTCGGGATTATTCACGCTTGGTGGAGCAGCACCTGCCTGTGGGCTTGGCACCGGCTGCTGCCCGACCCCGCAGCCCTCGCCAGGCCATCCCCTCGTCTGGTGACCCCGTTTTGGCTGGGGTGTGTGGGCAGTGTCACCCCAATCCCAATTCCTGGGCTGGGGTGATGCCTGTGGCTCTATTGGCAGTGCCTGAATTTGCTGAGTGTGTCTGAGCTGGTCTAGACAAGAGCTTACAGGGGAGGGAGGGGGTGGGAGATGGGGAGTCCCACTGACCCCCAGACCATTGGACATGACCACTTTTTCTGCTGACCACTTGCCTGCGCTGGGTGAATTCCCAGGAAATCACATTTTCTCTTCTAGGACACTGAAGTGGGGTGATGTCCTGGGGTCTGGGGAGCCCCAGGGGTCTTCACCCTCCCCTCTCACCCCATCCTTTGTGTCACACAGATTGATGAGATGCCAGAAGCTGCAGTCAAATCCTCCTCCAATAAGTACCAAGTCTTCTTCTTCGGGACCCATGAAACGTGAGTGGGAGCCAGGGCAGGGTGGGTGGTGCCAGTGGGTGTTAGAGAGGTGAGACCCCACCCTGCTCCCCCATTCTCACCGTTTTCCCCCTCCACAGGGCATTCCTGGGKCCCAAAGACCTCTTCCCCTACGAGGAGTGCAAGGAGAAGTTTGGCAAACCCAACAAGCGGAAAGGGTTCAGYGAAGGTTTGTGGGAGATCGAGAACAACCCCACGGTCAAAGCCTCCGGYTACCAGGTGGGTCATGAGCTGGGGGGCTTCCATCCCATTTCCCCCTTTCCCCAATTCCTCCGTCCTTGGCACCCTCTTTGAACCCCCCATGCCACCCCCAGCCCACCCAGAAGAAGAGCTGCCCCGAGGCGGCCGAGCGGGAGCCGGAGGGAGATGGGGAGAAGAAAGGCAACGCGGAGGGCAGCAGTGACGAGGAGGGCAAGCTGGTGATCGAYGAGCAGTCCAAGGAGAAGAACGAGAAAGCTGGGATCAAGAGGAAAGCGGAAGATGCTTTGGAGGTAGCGGGGTGGGACGCTGGGGATGGGGGTTGTGGGTGATGAGGGTCGGGCTAAGCTGAGATCCCTCCTCCCAGGACTCCCCTAAACGCCCCAGGGATGCAGAGGGGCAGGAAGAAGACAAGAAGATGGACAATGAAGAGGCCCCCAAAGAGGAGCCCAAAGCCAACCCAGGCGAGGGGGAGAAGAACAGCGACGCCGCCGACGCGCCGGACGCCAACGAAGCCAAGCAGGAGGGCAAGGAGGAGGTCAGAGACCACAAGGAGAGGTGAGGGCAGTGTGGTGACCCCCATCCCCACAGCCCCCCRGGTTTGGGGGGCATCCCTGGCACTGCAGGGTCTGACCATGGACCTGGATCTCTTTTTGGTCCCCACAGCCTGTAGCAGCTTCCCTGGTGAGCTGATCCTTCCCCGCTGGGTCTGGGTGCTGCCCCGTGTCGCCCTCGCCTCTGGCTCGTCGCGTTCCAGAGCTCCGGATGAGAGAAACCACCCCAAAATGAAATTTCAAAAGGAGAAAAAAAAAAATTTAAAAAAACTACAAAAAAAAAAAAAGAGAGGAATGCAGAGCGGCCGGGTACTGATCCCGAGCGCTCCGTGCCTGCCCCAGCCGTGGGCGCACGCTTTGTATTAGTGATTCCTCGGGGCTGAGCAGTTGATTTGAAATAAAAGCGAATCTTGCCTTTTTAAAGCGCTTTGTGGACCCCAGGTCAGCCCCTGGACCCTCCTGCGTGGGTGGTTTTGGGACCCTTTGGGGACAGAGCTTATGGAGCAGGGAATGAGATGGGGCTGGGGAATGGGAAGAGCCAGGAGAAGGTTTTKAAGGTTTTCTATATAAAATAGAAATTACAGAATCCCAGAATGCCCTRAGCTKGAAGGGACACACAAGGATCAAATCCGACTCGTGGCCCTGCACAGTAACAYCCCAAAATCCCAGCATCTGAAAGCATTGCCTAAACACTCCTTGACCTTTAGAATAATGAAATTGTGGGATATCCTAAGCTGGAAGGGACCCACAGGGATCATCGTGCCCTGGCYCTGCACAGGACACCACAAAATCACACCCCGTACCTGAGGGCATTATCCAAACACCCTTGAGCTGGGGCAACCTCGGGGCCATGACCGTTCTCTGGGCACCCTGTTCCATATAAACCAGCGAGGAGAGGTCAAACCGGGGAAATTTGGTTATACTCGGCTCTCCACGGAGGGGACAGCGGGGATTGTCCCCTGCCCCGGGACCAGGCCCCAGAACGGGGAGGGCAGCAGCAGAAAATGGAGCCGTGGTTGAGTGCCAGCCCCGGCGGGACTACGTCTCCCAGCGTGCCGCGCGGCGGGACTACAGCTCCCGTCGTGCCCTGCGGCAGGACTACAGCTTCCGGCAGCCGCTTCATCCCGGGCCGGGTCCCCACGGAAGCTGCAGCGGGGGTGGGGGGGCGGAAAAACTACAGCTCCCGGCGTGCCCCGCGGTAGGACTACAGCTCCCAGCGTGCCCCGCAGCAGGACACAGCTCCCGACAGCCGCTTCATCTCGGGCCGGGTCCCCGCGAGATCAGCGGCGGGGCAGGGGACACTGAGGGGAGATGGAACCACAGTTCCCGGCGTGCCCCGCGGCAGGACTACAGCTCCCAGCGTGCCCCGCGGTAGGAATACAGCTCCCGGCAGCCGCTTCATCCCGGGCCGGGTCCCCGCGGGACTGAGGCGGGGCGGGGGACATTAGGGGCGGCAGGAATACAGCTCCCGGCAGCCGTTTCCTCTCGGGCCGGGTCCCCGCGGGAGCTGCAGCGGGGGTGGGGGGCGGAAGGACTACAACTCCCGGCGTGTCCCGCAGCAGGACACAGCTCCCGGCAGCCGCTTCACCTCAACCGAGCCCCCGCGGGATCAGCGGCGGGGCGGGGGACACTGAGGGGCGGCGGGACTACAGCTCCCGGCGTGCCCCGCGGCAGGACTACAGCTCCCGTCGTGCCCCGCGCCGGGTACCTTCACCCGCGGCGTCCACAGCGCCCCCAGGCGGTGCCGCGTCCGTCTCCGCCCTCACGGAGCGCGGGAGCGGCGCGGAACCCTCAGGTGAGGGGGGTTTGGGGTTCGGAACTTCTGTAGGGGCCAGGGGGCTCTGCAGGATCCTTTTTGGGGTATTACCGAGGCCCTGCTGGGGCTTGGGGCCCTTCGGGGGCTCTGCCGGATGCCTGAGTATCATTTCCGGCGGGGTGGAGGGGGTGTGCTCATGGTACCCTTGGGTTCCCTTTGTGGGGTGGGGTGCTCTGTGGGACTGAGGGCGGACTTTGCGATATCCTTGGGACCCTTAGGGGCTGGAGGGGGCTCTGCCGGTGTCCGTGTCACCTTTGGGGGAATGGGGTCGGTGGGACCCATGGGTTCCCTTTGGGGGTTGCTCTGCCCGTCTGTGGGACTCCTGTATTCTGTGGGGGAAGGGAGAGGTGCCTGTGTGACCCCTTGGTTCTCTTTGGGGAGTGGGGGGCTCTACGGCTCCTCTTTGCAGGACAGGTCCCCTGTGAGTGGGGGGTGCCTTGTGGGATCCCTGGGTTTCTCCGTGGGTATGGGATTGCTCTGCCACTACCCCAGGGGGGTCTCCCTTTTGGGGCTGTGAGGGTCTGTGGGTCCCCTTTTGGGGTGAGGGTTTGCCAAGGATTCAGTCTGCTTTGGGGGGTGGCTGTGCTCTGTGGGATACCTGGTTCCCCTTTTGGGGTGTAGGGGTCTGCCAAGGATTGGGGTTAGGGGTGAGTTTGGGATCCCTGAGTGGTTTCTGTGGGGAGCTGCTCTCAAAGCCAGGTGCTTTGATCCCTTTTCAGTGGGGGATTCTTCCAAAGCCTGGATAGGTGAGGTGTGCTGGGGCTTAACTCCCCTTTGGTGGTGGGGGGGTCTCTGCCGACCCCCTGCATCCCCCACCCCCCAGGGATGTCCCCAGGGGGCTCAGCGACACCCCTGACCCCCTAACCACCAGCACCATGCGGCTCTCGGCCCTGCTGAGCGCGGCACGGCCRCGGTTGCCCCCGGGCTACCGGCACGGGATGTGGCCCCCGGACTCCATGGCCGCCCGGCTCCGCAACCCCCCGGGGCAGCGCCGCCGCAAAGTCTTCGTGGAGCCCATCGCCAAGGACGACTGGAAGGTGTTCAAGGGTGACACGGTGAGGCTCCCCCTCCCCAGGTCCCCCCGTTCTGGCTGGCAGTGGGGCTGGGGTCCCATTTTTACCCCTCTGTCCCCCACAGGTGCAAGTGCTGGCTGGGAAGGACGCAGGGAAGCAGGGGATGGTCACCCAGGTGGTGCGAGCCCGCAACTTCGTGGTGGTGGAAGGACTGAACACGGTGAGGCTGGGGGCTGGACTGGGGGGCT